GCCGATCCACACACACACACACACACACACACACACACACACACACACACACACACACACACACACACACACACACACACACACACACACACACACACACACACACACACACACACACACACACACACACACACACACACACACACACACACACACACACACACACACACACACACACACACACACACACACACACACACACACACACACACACACACACACACACACACACACACACACACACACACACACACACACACACACACACACACACACACACACACACACACACACACACACACACACACACACACACACACACACACACACACACACACACACACACACACACACACACACACACACACACACACACACACACACACACACACACACACACACACACACACACACACACACACACACACACACACACACACACACACACACACACACACACACACACACACACACACACACACACACACACACACACACACACACACACACACACACACACACACACACACACACACACACACACACACACACACACACACACACACACACACACACACACACACACACACACACACACACACACACACACACACACACACACACACACACACGAGAACGCGAACGGTGCATTACGAGCAATGAGGCAAAATTGCGTATTTTTTAATATTCTGAGATGTCTCGTCTCCGTGTGAGATGAAGAGAGAGAGAGAGAGAGAGAGAGAGAGAGAGAGGAAGTGAGAGAATGAAGAAATTAGAGGGAAAAAAGGGTATTGCGATTCAACTTCGTATTAGACGGAGAGAGCTAAGATTATCGATATTTACGCTAAGTTAGTAGTAAAAAGAAAAAAAGTAGTCGTAACTCTTCAGAAGTACGGATACATTTTTAGACGAGTAAGGAACCGAGAAAGCAGGGAAAAAACATTGTAATCGGTTATCGTCGAGATAATAAGCGACGCGATTGCATCCGTGGTATCTTCGATTTCGTTTCGCTGAATCGATCATGAACATCGTATCTCGAATTAATATATGTATATATCATTAGGAAACATCCATTTAAAAAAACGTTCAATTGCATTGTCAAGAGAATGTAAAGAGAAGTGAAATATCTTGATTGAAATGTCAGAGAAGAGAATCTGTCGGAATCACTTCGAAAACGCGAATCTTCATCGATCTCGTCGAGAATTTCTCATCTACGTGTTATCTGTGTTAGGAAATACAGTAGAGCATCCACTCGACGAGAGATATCAATTGTACATACAATCGATTATCGTATCAGAAATCATGTCTTGCATCGCACAATCTTCGTTCGCATGTAAATCTATCAGACTATCTAGTCTCGTCTTTGTTTTATCCTGAAGTCTCTGCTTCGAAATCTTCGGGCTTATCACTCAAATGTGAAATTCACCACACGGTTCATCTTGAGAGTGATTTGATGTCCAGTTACAAATCCGAAATTGCGAAGGAAAAGAGAGAAAGGGAGAGAATTTTAACGGATAAATCGTTCATCGCGATCGACGACACCACGGATGTCCGCGTGAGAGAAATATCTCGTAGAGATATGTTCACCGCTTTAAAGCAGAGATCCATGTAAGGAATTTATTTACGATGGCGAGGAAAGAGAGAGGAAACGAAACGATTTGTCCTTAACGTAAGCGACGTTGAGGTACGCATATTCGTACGGCTCGTAAGGCTCGCTTACGGAGATAAACAAAAAAAAAAGAAAGGAAGATTCTCTATATATATATATTTATTGATTAACGCGGAGCGTTAACGCAACGCTTGGTTTTACTTTCGCACTTTCGCTCGTCGATGAAGTTAACAAATAACAAACACCTGCATCCCGACGTGACCTCTTTGGGCACACCGCTATGTATCTCTCTGGGTTTTTTTTTTCTATTTTTTCCCCCCCGTCACACTGATGAGGTATAATTTAGTTCACACGGCATCTCTTTTTCCCGCGCGCGAGGAGAGCTAATCTTTACAGATATATTACTTTACACTCTAACCACATTTATTTGCATCCATAAATTGTTATTCTTTCATCATCATGAATTTATTCCATTCAATGTTAAATAATTATATAAAAGTTTAAACAAACAAAAAAAGAGAGAGAGGAGAGAGAGAGAGAGAGAGAGAGAGAGAGAAAGAGAGAGAGAGGGAGAAAACATAATATATTAACTATTTTCACTCATGAGAAAGCATCGTTACCTGTATGACAAGTGACCATAATAAGAGCATAATAAACAATCGCTCATTAAATGCATTCTGTTGTTCTTCATTTCATGACCTGGCCACCGTCCATACATCCATCCATCCATTTGTCCATTCAGTGTCGCAAGTATGATCATCATACGCCATCGTCTGTCATTCACCAAGACTCTGTAACCGTCGAGTCTCTCGCGCTGAGTCTAACACAATGTCTGCGATTTTTTTTCTTTTTTCTTCATTAAGCAAAATCTAAGGAAAAAAGAAGCGTCGAGGCGCAATTGTAATTTTTGTGGAAATTGGGAAGGTGTCACGCGTGCGCGATTGGATAGTGAAGACGACGATGGCGGAAGAAAAATCGAAAAAGAGAGATAGAGAGAGGGCAGCCTTCCAAATTTCGACAAAAAGTCACGACGACGGTACAGCGATGGGCACAACTGAGAGATCGTAGAGATCAATCATTTATTGGGCGGAGAAATTCGCGACACTCTCGTCCCTAAAATCTCCCTAATTGTCTCCTCGCGATCACATCAATGACGGCTCGACCGATCCTCTGTCTCTGTATCGTTACGTTATTTCAAAAGGGAAAGGAAAAAACGAGGGAGACAGAAGATCGACCAGGGCACAAACGGCCAGTCTCTCTTTCTTTAACCGCAGTTAATTTATTAATCGACTAACTAAACTAATCTCCGATGAGGATAGTTCTAGTTATTCCGTTGTATCTTCGTTGAAGCGAAAGGTATGCGATGGTTTCACGCGGTGTTACCTTGCGTTACCCGAAAGCTTGTGTTATCGTCATCGGCGCTCGCACAACCGCAGCTCGAAAAGCAGTTGGTTTTTTTTTAATGTAAGCCACACGTGCGCGCGGTTTTCGAGACGGTTCTCTCGCGTATATCAGATCCGCTCGGTGGTATCAGTATTTCGCGCGGCAAAGTCGAGTGCAAACGTGATTATCATTGCCTCGTCGATTCTCCCAGTGAAAAGTCGACGAGACCGCCGATAATGTTAATCACGGCAGGCATATCACGTATCACACGGCTCTTATGTATTAATCTCTCGTCTTCTTACGAACAACAAACATTTATATATATTTAGATATATTCCTTGTGTATATATATGTACATATACCTTTCATTATAGAGGGATGGCGCGTCTTACGATTTCATCACGTCTTCTCTTCTTGCCTTTCTTTCCCTCAGTTCTTTTCTTCGTCTTTTTTATTCTTTAATTTTTACATTCCTCCGAGTGTATAATCTCGAGCGTTCGACGAGATGCCACTCTAACTAGTCAGTAAAACGAAGGATTGTATTTTTTACGCGACGAATTATTTGTAATAAAAGGAAGAATTACATTGATAGGGGTGAGGTAGCGGAGAGAAAGAGAGAGAGAAAGAGTGTACGAGAGCGAGAGAGAGAGAGAGAGAGGGAGAGAAAGAAAGCGTCGAGTAGAAACGGTCTATTTTGGATGAATTTATTGTCGAGCTTTTGATAAAAGAAAACGAAATGTAAATGTACTGCAGAAGTAACAAATAAAAAGCTATTTTTGTACGGATAATTGGAGCAGCATCGACAATTTATTCCGTGCTTGCGCGCTCATACAAAACACATCCGATCGATTTGCAACGAAATCATGAATGCAGAATCATGTAATCCGCTGCCCCCGCGAATTAATCGATCGGAGAAGACGCCTTCGAAAGGAAACCTCGAAAGGGCGAGACAAGGAGACAAAGCGTTCGGTAAAATTCTGGTAAGTTCAGCACTTGTGTTTGATCGTTTCAATCTTCTTTCACAAATCAACCTTCTTCTTCTTCTCATGCCGATTGAAATCTTCACGAGGCTCTGCGTCGGAGATCATCGCTCTCTTTGTCCTTGATAAGATTAGCTGCTTAATTAGAGGATGCATGCTTACACAGTGAGAAATATTTGGTACTTATGTTAAAATCGATCCTTGTTAAAATTTTTGTGTTAAATCATTAACATATACCTGTGTGTCGATCTAACATATTGTGTTTATGTTATCCCGATATGTTACGTGGAGTCGATGTTCAACACGTTTAAGTGTCAAAATAACACATTTTACATTTTTATACTTAAGTAACTAACATATTATGAATGTTAATTTTGTATTAATTTTCGACATATTTGCGTTACTTCTGAACATATTCACCTTACATAAAAATCAACACAAAAATTTGTGCGGACCGTTTGGTACATGTGAAATATGTTAAAAAGTGTCGTCCAAAGTAGTTTTTATCCCTATTTTTTACAAAACAAATTTCATCGGGAGACGTAGCAAAAAAAGCTCTTCAAGACTAGATTATTATTGGTCAAAGAACTTATATATTACGAAGTGCAATTATTAGATAAATATGCAACCAAAGTCGAACTTTCCGCTGTTCGATGTTCGATGGAAAATATGCTATGAACAACACACAAGAATTGTTTTGACTGAAGATCTATAAAAAACCAGCTTCATCTTGGCGTATTTCACAGTTTGAAATGTTTTTTGCGAAAAACAAAGGATCTTCGGGGCGGGATTTTTTAACACAAAATTTTTCACCGTGTACGAAATTATCCCGAGGTGACGAGACGATGGACGAGATGTGCCGGGCGGAGCGGGAACACATCCTGGTGAATTTTCCCGGTATTTCGGGATAACTCAGTGCGAAAGGATGCTCGCGAGTTACACGTGTGCGATAGTAAAACCGTGCCTACGCGGAATAACACGCACAGGGAGAAAGAAAGAGAGAGAGAGAGAGAGAAATGTTCGCGCAGTAATCGTGAGAGCGTTTGTATTTTGCAGATCTCAGTTACAGTGGGACTCGCTCGCAATAAAAAGTATACCACTACAGACGAAAACGCAGCTTTATTCGGGTGACAATATAAGTGTACACGTATGTATGTGTGTATGTATATATGTTGTGTGTGGGTGGATGTACGTCGCTTGGCTGAATGCACCGTACTGTTCTTTTGATCTTTCGTCGCGCTACTACAAAGTAATATACATACACTATGACACAGATTCCTTTTACTCGCTAGAAGCGGTGCGAATGTACGGTGATCGTTTTCGCTCGCGAATTATCTACGCGCCCCGTGCTGCTTCGGACTGACATGTGTGTCACTATTATTATTATTATTATTATTATATTATCATTAATATTATCATTAATATTATTTTATTGTTATAATTATAATTATTATTATTATTGTACACTCTCATTTGCTCATACCTAACGATCTCATGCATCCTCTTACAAACGCTACGCCTTTTCAAAAAGTCTATCTTAGGGACCATTGTGGGCGGGAGAGGAGATTACGCTTATTGCCATTACCTCGTCGGACTATACAGCGGTATATATTGCCAACTGCATGTGCAATCAGTTCGTGAAAGCGATGTAAAGGGCGAGCTCACATTTGCGAGGTCGTATCGGACGACTACACTGCGCGCGAGCGATGTGAGAAAGATGAAAATGGAGACGACACTCGCATTGTAATAAACCGGAATGAACGTCGTCCGTTTTCGCTCTTATTTACGGAATATGAGCGACGCTCGAGGTATACACGAGGTTTTCGCACGAAAACTACAATGCAAATTAGATGCTTTCGAGAACGCAATCAGTATGCGAAATATTAAGAACGACGATTCCTCTATCATCGATTTAATGTTTCTTGCTTACTGAGTATATCATAGCAATACTGTGATTCTAAAATTAGTTATGAAGATACTTGATACGAAAGATCAGAAAATTATCGTAAACATCGAAATTCTTATATGAGGAGGCCTCAAATTCAAATGAGAAATCTGCCTGTAATATTTTACACGTTGATTGCGTCCCGTATTGCAAATTACCGCTTATCACGATAAGTCACAGTTCGTTCTCGACGAAATCAACTTTCCACTTTCACGGTCAATCCTTCGTCCCTTTTCTTCAGATCCTTGTATGCGAAAATGCTGGAACGGAGACTCGACGCGGCAGCCGCAGGATCGCGTTCAGACGCGAGATCCCGCGCGTTAACACGTTAACGAGCATTCGCTTAAGTGGCGAATACTCAAGTCTTCTTTTCGTTCTCAGTTACAATAATAAAAGCGAGAAAGTTATAACGCAATGTGACAGAGACTCTTACTTTGTTCGCGTTTCTCCCCGTAAATCAAATCACGTAGTACTATGACGTTAGTCGTACAAAAAAAAGGAAGCGGACATGCACAACTGCAGTTTCGATTTGGCCGTACACTTGCTGTCTTGTTGCCGGTGGACGTTCGCGCGGAGCGGAATTCCCGGGGGAAGTATGGTTCGTATAAAGATTATATACATTATTATCTAACCACTCGGTTGATTAATATACGTCTGTTGTGTGGCTTTGTGTATATGTATGCTACGCATGTATGTATTGCAGCGCTGCCATCTAGTCACCGGAACAAGAAGAGTGAGACAGTGGCCACTTCTTGGCAGAAAAAGTGACCTTTCAAACATAGTGACCAAAAAGTGTCATTTTTGTCCAATTCTGTAACTAAGGCCATTTAAGTGAGAAAATAACACTTATCTTACTAGGATTATCTTTGGATAATCTAACATATAGCAAGTTCTTTTCATGGAATACAATTTAAAAGTTCACAACAAAGAAAAGAGCAAGGACGTAAATGATATAAATGCGCTTTCGGAGCAATCGGCAGCAGACGAGACGGCATAAAAACATATATAAAACCGCCTATATTTTACAAATTTAACGGCAGTTCGAGAGAAAAGTGGCTGTAGTGAGCCATTTTGGACAATAGTGAATTTTGTGTTGACTTGCCAAGTGACAAGAGGCGACTTGAATGACTAGATAGTAGCGCTGATACTGTGCGTGCGTACGTGTGTAACACGGAATGTACGTTCTTGCTTGTCCCGGGTGCTATATGTAGGACGTAGACTTTAAGGCCCGTGGCACACACGGAACGTGAGCAAACTCACCGATCACATAGTCGACTATTCTCCTTACGGTCGAAGAATAATAGATTGTGGTTGGTCAGTTCACTTACTTCTGCTTACGTCTTATTCCTTGTGTTTTTTGTATGCGCCATGGCTCTAAGAGTGTGTTGCGACGATTCTATGTATATATCTATATATATCTATATATATATATATATATATTTAGTCCTTTTTTTCATCTTCCATTAGAAAGCGCACAAAGAAGTGTATACCTTCGTTATTACGATACTATATCTCCTATAGAAAAATAATTGCGAAGGCTGGAGGCTACATGGAAGAAGTACTCGTCGAAGTCTCAGTATAAGAAGGCAGTTACAACGTGCGCGACATACATGGAGTTCAAAAATCATCGACGTTGTGTCGACGTGTGAGTTTTCCGACGCGAGTGCGACGTGACATGTTTCGTGAGTGCCAGCGGCGGCGGAAGGTTAATGCGGCAATAAGGAAGAATTCCAATGAAATCCGATTGTGTTTCTCGATATCTATCAGAGGAGTCTCTCGGGCTTAGGAGCGTAACGCGTTTGAGAAAGCGGCGCGCATATACATTTATACGCACGTTGACGTACAAAATCCTTCGAAGTACGCGGCTACGCGATAACAACAGCGCGCTTTACAACGAGCGATTTCTATAAAAAGGATCCGTGAAAAATATCGGCATCTCTGCTTCATCATGTTCTCGAAACCGGAGAGAGAGAAAGGGAGAGATAGAGATAGAGAGACGCTCAGTTACACTGTGAGAGCGCATAAAATTGTGTACTTTGATTCCGTTGGCGTCTCGACGGCGGCGTCTCCGTGCGCCGTTTGATTTGCGCGACCATACATACGCGATTGTACTATGTGTACACTGGGAGAAAAATGTCCAGAAAATAAGAAATATTTTTTCCGGTAGGGTGAAAAGTGAAATCTTTCGCGTGAAATTACATGATCGATACCCCGAAAAAACACAAAAGTCCAAAAGACGTCTAAAGGATTTTCTGACTTCTGTGCTACTTGGGATATGTATTAACTTCGATCTAAATTCTTCTATTTAATTATTTATATATCTTATTATGCGATAAACAATTGTTCTCATGTGAAGCTAGATTTAAGTAAATTTATATTTTCTTACGTGAAAAGAATTTTCTTCTTAGTGTAAGAACTTAGTGTATATTAATACAAGTAAATATGTTATTAGTACCACCCACCGGACAAATACTTTTAATTTCTCGGATATTTTCCCCCCTCGGTGTAGTAAACGGCATTTCAATGGCACATTTTCACGATCCTCGCGGTTGCGAACGCGCGAGATCATCGATGACCGCGCGGTTCTCAATTGTGTAAACGTAATTCCAATTGGCGGGCAGTCCAGCATTGCGGTAGTAATCCGGCACAGTCACCGTTTTCGCGAGCAGTTTTTTTCTTTACGTGCTCGCGAAAAGCGATTTTCCTCTCGAGGAAGATACGATACATCCGGAATGTCAAAGGAAACATGCGATTTGTACTCTCTTCTTTTACACGTCGGGAGATACACATTGTGCGGAGCGCAAATTTCCCTTTTATTACACATCCCCCTTTCGAATTGTGGATCGCTTCGCGTTACGAATTTTTGTCTGCTGCATGCGCTACTCGATATCACGTAAGTACGAATCACTATTCTATATATGTTACCGATGCGAAGATCTCGGGGCGTTCACTATGATTCAATATAGGCAACATCCTCTTTTCCTTACGCTATGTCAGCGCGAAAGAAGTCAAATAAAAAATTTATAAGTATATATATAAAAAGTAAACTTTTGATTTCAACAGAACCTATTTAGAATAGGTCGATATATCTTACAAAATATCGTGTAAAAATATCGCGTGAAGGATAAATTTCGATTGACGATAAAAACCCGTAGAAAAACGTAACAAAGAACTTAAAAGTAGGCCCGATATTATCCCCCCTTTCTTATTTTTATGTACGAGTACGGAAATGGCGTAGAAGATCGAGAGGCTACCGCGGCCTCTGATGCTCGCTTCTGTCGACCGGCCGCTAACCATTTCAATACCGGAACGCAGTTCATAAGTGACAAAAGGTGCTGCTTTACCGATCTAACGATATCCTCGGACTGGGACGCGCAAGTGTAATTTTTATCGAAGGAACACAATCTGCAGACCGACGGCGTCGAATTAAAATCAACTTCTCGTGCACACGCTGCCGCAGCGTGATCAATCTTCACGACACTACTAAGTGTACACCCGGATACTGGTGTTGGGGATCTTTTACGGGACTCCTGGAAGCATTACTCTACGAGAGCATTACTCTACGAGAGAAAGAAAGAGGGAGAGAGGGGGGGGGGGGAATTGGACATGGGATACGTTCGGAAACTTATTATAGGGAAAATTCGGAATATTATTATAGGGAAAAAAGTGCTGCAATCTTTTTGTGGCTAAGCACGCATACACCTTTCCGAAATTTAAACTCAACTCTCGATTGCAACTGCTGTCTCTCCTCCGGATAAAATTTTGCGACCGGCGGTCCGGACTCAATGAGCTCGATTCAGCGCTTTTTCTCGGAGAGGTCTTACGATCTCTCATTCGCGATAATATACGAGGTTCGACGAGCCGCACGCGTCACGTTAAAAATCTGGACGAGGACGAATGAACGGCGGATTTGTCACCTTTTGTCACTATGAAACCACATGATGTCGGACCACCTCCCTTCGCTCTTCTAAAGGATATTAGAAGAGGAAAAGGGTGGTCTGCCTCGCTTGCTACTTGGTCGCCTCAGGCGGACAGTCGGGCTGGTTGTTGGGGTGAGCCGCGGTGAAGGCCGGATGGTGCTCCAAATGACGGTCCACCCTAAGGATCGTCGGGAAGGGTCTGAGGTCGACGTGAAACCTCCGTGCGTTGAATATTTGTGGTACCAGGCAACAGTCCGCTAACGTGATCTCATCGCCGACGCAATATTTGCCCGCGCTCGACGATAATAACTTTTCCACGGCTGGAAGAAAGCATAAACTGGTCTTATCGGTGTTTTTATCTTAGCGCTATGCGTGTTGCATCATGACTTAACCGCTGATTGAGCGTGTTGTTTTCCTGAACGTGCGTCGAAGGTCGCCACGTGGCGTATCGGAAATAAATATCTCAATATGCAACAAGCGCATTATAATTGCATATGTTCACGCGCATTAAGAATATTTAAAAGTCGCGCTAAAGCATGCAAGGTGACTCGGTTAATTGAGGAAAATAATTTCCGCCGTCTCTCTCTCTCTCTCTCTCTCTCTTTCTCTCTCTCTCCCCTCCCCCTCCCCCTTTCTCGCAGCGCAAGCCAAAAGTAGCGGTTTAATGTGAAATATTAATTTCCTGTCTGAGATTGACTGACACATGCCGATCGCCAGGGAGGTCCTACCGTGATTTCACCGTGTCTCGTTAATATAGGCGTGACTAATTGCCTAACAGATTAAACCCCGTAGTCGACAAACAGCCAAGCAAACTAGATGATGATGATATAGCGTCAGAAAATGTATGTTTATCGTAACTTGTTATTCGGAACGTTCCAATTAACGCTAGAAACACATTTTTTCCCCTCTTAGAACCGCAGATGGGTTACTTTCAGCCTGTTTTCTCGTAATGATCTTGTAAGATTCTCGTAAATGACTTTTCTTTAACTTTATGATATTGTTTGCTTTATGATAAAGAAGACTTCCCAGTGATGAAAAAATCCAAAGAAATGGGGATCCAGCTTTATTAAGTATTAAACTTCGAGATGATCCTACAGAAATTACTGGTGGCAGTTAAAGAGGTTGTAAGGCGAAATGAGTTTGATAAGAATTCGATGAGACCTGTGTTACATAGACGTTCAGATATTATATAACTGCTCGTGCAATTAGAAAAAGATTGACCACTCGAATGCTGAGATATTTGCAACTAAAGTTGAGTTTTTATGTTCTTTGAGATTCGCGTGATATTTTTAATTTGTATTTTTAATATCTTCTAAACTATAAAGATAAGATTTTGATGAAAAATTACTATGTTATTGAAAATTAATATGCAGATATTATACACGAATTTTAGAATTATTGGCCACTTTGTTTCAAAAATACAGCGGTATTAAATTCATTACTTGTAGTAATACTCTAAATACATAACATGCACGTATTTTAATACTTATACATTGCTCTTTATTATGTAACTTTTTATTATAACAGTCCCATTATAATATCCTATAGTTTTATTTATAACCGCGGCCCTAGTCTTCTATCCGAGTACGATTACCTCAATTTCATCTCAAATTGACATTTATTATTTAGGTAATGAAATAAATGTGTAAGAACATAATTTTGATTAATAAATACTAAATTTATAAATAGCCCCCTTGATACGCCAACGAAAATACGACACTGAGTCTCACAACTTCCTCAACAAGCCGAGATAAAATCTTGAAGGCAAACATTTCGAAGGCCGTCGAGACACCTTAAGGTTTGTCTTCGACTCGTACGAAAGAACTATTCTCGATGCCTCGGAATCGCGACTAACAGCGAATCACCCTGTTTACTTTAGTTCGTAAAGCCTGATTGGCGTTAACAAAAACGACCGTGTGTTATATGTTACATTTGTTATCTCGAGTCACCTGTAAATCCCCTGGTGATCCAATGCTGCGCCCATTCCTTTTTGCGCTCCTCCCCGACGTAGATCAGAATCGTGAGATTCTGCAGCGGCTGGATGCCACTGGCGATCACCTCGCAAATCTCCCTCACCCTAGCCCTCTTGACGGGATCCGCCGGCATCAGCGGGCGACTCGGCCTGGTCTCCTCCAAGTATTGCAGGATATTTAACTGCGTGAGAAAACCGCCCGTTACATCGTAATCGGTCAAGCATGCGAGGAAAAATCACGGCAAGGATAGAAATTGCAAATCGTTTCAGCTGAACTCACAGACTCTATTAGCGTGTGATTGTCGATGTGCAGCGCCGGGACCTGCTCCATCGGATTGATCTCGCGGAACTCATTGGAATGCTGCTCCCCGCCGCTCTTCACCAGGCTCACCGGCTTTATGTCGTACGGTATCTCCTTCAGATTCAACGCTGCCAGACAGATACATATCGTCAGAAACTCGTTTGATAAATTTTTAATGTTTATTTCTGTGAAAAATAACCCTTATATTCCACGTATAAATTTTCCGATAATTTTTTCTCAGTGTATTTTCATGTGAAAAATCTCGCGAGAATGGATCGAGAAGCTTCGGAAGGTGCGCTCGCTGCTGCAAGTCGCGACGACATCATCGTGTGCGACGGTTCTTCCCTTGGCGGTAACGAAATCTTCACTCACCAATTCTCACCCTCCACGAGCAGGAACTCCGCCAGTAGGAGTAGAGCACCGGCTGTCGGAAAAAACGAGAGGAGGCATGAATTTTGTGGCAAAGTTCGCTCGTGCACGACCGGTCCTCGAGGACACCGACGTGTCCTCGGAGCCGGTCGTGAAACCAGATTCGCGCGCGCAGATGGAAAGAATTTACAACGATTGCTCGGCAGATGTAAATAAGGACGTTTAGCAAGACGTGCATTTATTAACGAACACCTCGTTCCAACCGTTGACGCGACACTAATGCCGATCAGTGTCGATCGTCTCTCGAAGAATCCCTCGACAAATCGCTCTCTAACGACGCGACAAACTCGGCCTCGGCTGAATTTCAATTTTTTAAACCGGAAAAAAATAAGCTCCGCAAGTACAATAATTGAAGGACGATGTAGTAACACTATGTCGTCGTTAATAATTGATGAAACTTGGTACGAGCAATTTGTATTCTTCCCGATAAAAATCGTTTAAGCAAACGTTGAGTATTTATGTTTCATATTTACATTTGTATCACTTTATTCATTAGAAATATTTTTTTATATTAATCCAAATAAAATTACATGTATGTTTAATTATTTTAGTTTAAGTTCAGCAATTATTTAATCATTTAGAAAATCTATTGTAAAAAATAAAAGACATATAAGATATATGTAAAATCTTTGAAATATTTTTCGCGATCAAAATCGTTTAAGCAAACATTGAGCATTTATGCTTTACACATACATTTGTATCACTATATTATATACATAATATAATATTACATTAATCTAAATAAAATTACATGTATTTAATTAGTCATTCAAGTTCAATTATTGAATGGTTTAGAGAGTTACCAAAAGACCTACTGAAAAAAATAAAAGATATGTAAAATATATGTAAAATCTTTGAAATATGTGTATTTTTAGATATTCAACTTTAATACATCTGGAACGACCAGACGTAGGCTTTCCGGAATCGCGTCCTTCTGCCGCCGAGATTCAGATAAAATCAAATTCGTGAAACATACGATCAATGTACAGTTTGATTAAACTGCTGCAAACGCGATTTTAGGCTATTCCAGCGATAACCGCTGGAACTTCTCGACTGATAAGCCACGATCGACATTTATTTATCTCGCGAGTGCACCGCTCTCGCGGCCGACTAAAGTTTCTCCTGCGGACTAGCTGCGCGCGCGCGCAGCCGGCGGTCCGCACATTACAATGCACACGTTACATGCAGTCGTACGTTACACGCTATCGGCGTGTTACATCCACGGTTCCGCATGCTCGCTCCCCCCGTAAGCACGGTGACCAGCTTCGTTCGCGTGTCTCGACACTCGCGAGATGCGACTGCTGATCGAATAGAGCTCAATTTCCGATGAGAAAGGTGCGGGAAAATGAGCCTTACGCGAGCCGATCGTCGCGAGCGAGCACGGTCCTCGGTGACGCGCGACCACGGGAGTCGAGTCTCCGGGCAGGCTTCGCTCGTACCTGGACACACCGATTCCGCGCTTTCCGTCGACGCGACGTTATGGCGTGGGATAGTCGCGCGGTGAAGTCGAGCTGCACCGGCTGAAAGTAGCTCGAACGTTGGCTCGTCGACAGTCGCCTCGTTCGCAGAAGGTTAAATAATCTCACTTTACCACTCACCTTACCCATCACGGACATCTCGTCGGCCTCTCGTCGTCGCGAACAGACTCGCCCGCTCGATTATCACCTTGGCAAGCGGCTCCCCGGTGCCAGCGCGCTCGCCGCTGTCGGAATCTGTCAGAAATGCAATTCGGAATCGCGGTGAACGCGCGAAATCGCACCTCCTCACCCCTTTTATTCGATTGCCACAGCCGTTCCCCCCCGTTCCACCGGCTATATTCCGGCCCGGCCGGCCGTGCGTCCAATCACCGCGCGCTTTCCGATAGGCGCCCCCATGGGGCGCTTTCATCGCTCAGACGAAGGTTAACGAATCGGTACACGTACACTCGGTCACAAAACGTGCAACACCGTCCTGTGATTGAATGTATGACATTCCTTCACAAATACGTAAAAAGTTTAAAGTTTTCTCTTTAAAATGCCTGTATCATATTTTCTAATTAAGTAATTTTTCGCTCCGAAAACTCAACTGAAAGATGAAGTTTGAAATTGATCGGTCGCCATTTTTCGTTTAACTCGAAAAATCTTGACGAAAATTAACGACAACATTAATATAGCTAATATGGTTAAAAATTAGAGACTTCAGGCTTTAAAGTGCTTTTTGAACGATCTCGATAGCATCATTATTGCAAAAGTTACAGCCTGTTGAATTTCGCCTGTTTTATTATAGTGGAAAGTATGGCTGACCAACCCTTGAGTCATACTACTTGAAAAATAGAAATATGTCTGACTCTATTGTTTAGTCATATCACGATCTAATTTCTTTTTTATTGAAAATAAATGGCGTACAAAAAGTGTGAACATGGTCTAGGATCTAAGCCTATCCGACCTATGAGTGTTAGAGTATTATATTTTGACAAGAAGGTCTATATAGTTTTTGATGTCGGTAAATAAACAATTTTTATAGTTCTATGTATGAATTGAATGAGTGAATATCTAAAGAGTACAGTATTCGAACCAATCACGATCTCAGTTTCTCGTTAAGTATAGTGGCAGCTCGTAGCGGAGATCCTGGAACTAATGTCAGAAATAACGGGTCTAATAAGTCCGTAGACCCGTTATTTCCATATTAAAAATTACGGGTCTACGGAATTATTAGACCCATTATTTCTGAAATTTGGTTCCAGGATCTCCGCTACGAGCCGCCACTATACTTAACAAGAAACTGAGGTCGTATAATGTACCACTGTGGCGGCTATACTCTATCTCGCTTGCATGCGAGCTCGTCCCCCACCACACGCCGGCGAGCTAGTCTTTTGTCACTGCACGGCTAGTCTTTTGTCGCTGTACGGCAGAAGAACAGTGGAGACTAGCCCGCCGTTAGAGCTGCGTCGTTCTAGTGTTTCTCTACGTGATAAAAGAGTCTTTCTTATTCTCTGTGCTGAGTACTCAGTGGGCGCAGGCCTAGATTCTTCCCGGGCTATCCCTTCAATCTCCACACCACTATACCTAAGTCAAAAACTTCTTAAGTCTATAAGTTATCTACATTCTGATGTAACTAAACCACACACTTATGTAGCTAAGTTATATAAGTCGTGTGCGATCTATATAATAATCTACACAGGCATGTATCCATCCCATTAGGATTTTCACTCACCTTTTCCTCCTTTATATGTATTTTTCTTTTTATTTTATCTTGGACGTAGACTGGTTAACTTGTAATCTAAGAATCATCGAAACATCTACGACCTATTTCGAAAAGAACTATCCTTTTTCTTTCGGTTACTTTGGGAACACCCGAACGTTAATGTAAGCGATAGTGAAAATGTCATTGTATTTCTCCCCCTTTTCCTTTCTTTCCTTTTTCATCACTAAATCATTATCCGTCTCCTGTCGAATACTGTACTCTTTAGATATTCACTCATTCAATTCATACATAGAACTATAAAAATTGTTTATTTACCATCAAAAATTACGTCAAAAATTATATAGACTTTCTTGTCAAAATGTAATACTCCAACACTCATAGGTCGGATATCCTTAGATCTTAGACCATGTACACATTTTTTGTACGCTATTTATTTTCAACAAAAAAAATAAAAAAAAATTAGGTCGTGATATGACTAAACGATGGAGTCAGACGTACTTCTATTTCTCAAGTCGTTCTCACGTCGTGTATCGACCTCACAGTACGTGTGGGAATAGTAATTGTATAATTTTTATACGCAGTGCGTATGTAAAATATATAGTTAATAAATTATTTGTTCGCTCGTGACAGACGAAAATTATAAAGTTATCTTTATCACTGTATTACTTTATATTTTACTGCATTCGGCGCATTTTTATCCTTCTCTGTATCTTATATATATACACGTGAAAATTTGCACCAAGTTTACACACTTAGTGTGGTTTCAGTGCAACAGGAAAAGACGAACCTAGAACGATAGAATAGTCGAATCGTGGTAAAACTTACTTTTATGAGGCTTGCATTATCGTCACTTTTTGTATGTAGGAAAAATCTTGATTTTAATTCTATCGATGCGATCAAAATCTCTTCAAAAGTTGATTGTCAAGGAAGACACGCATAATGAGGTTATGTAATAATTCTTTCATCACTCTTTCATTCTTTCAACAGGTATAAGCTTTCTCTGGGCCGGCAAATACAAAAAAAAGAAAACATGCTGCGGAAATACCTAGAATTGTGGTATAGACCAAAAGACAGACAACTGGCTATCCGTAGAAGGGAAAAACTTGCGACATTATATGCTTTTGTCACATGGAATTGTTTTGGCATTTTATTCTACGTGCTGCTGAAGGATAAGATACCTATCGAGCCTGAAGAACGAAGTACGTGCCTTCAACAATCCTTGAGTCTGACTTTGTACAAGAAAACTGATAAAACTGATTTTCTTCACAGGACGAGCGCTTTTTGATTTAACTGGTTCACCCGGTAAATTGCATGTGTACCAGTTCCAGGGTACCAGTCTTACAAATCAGTTTGACATGGAAAAGGAGACATTCCAAGAGTTAGAAGAGGTCGAGCAATAAAGTAACATTCAATAATCGTTATTTCTCGAAAGTTGTTTAGAGTATACTATAAAATATCAAAAGAGACAAGTTTCATCGAGAAAACTTTACAGTATCTACAAACGCATACAAACGATACGCGTCGGAGATGTTGAATCGTTTGTTGCACGACACTTCCAAGAGGAATCTTGTCGTCAGTCTCGAGAAAAAAATCTATCTCGTACAGATCATCGTGTCAAGGAAGAGATCTTCGTAATGCGACAGCGCCAGCGTTAGAACCACTTGATTCCGGTCTCAATTCTTTCAATCTCTGATCCATCTCGCACAACAACGAAGATCTGTAGAAATATGCAAATGTACACGAAAGTAACATATAATACATCCAACATTAGTGTCTAATTGATAGTGTCTGATCTTGATTTTGGACCTTTCGACTTAGCTCAGTTTTTATCAGGAAAATGCGTCAAACTCGGAGATGTGATTCTCTCAAGTGAGATTGGACTGTCAAGCTCGACGAGGTGTTCCCGAAAAGTCTCAATCATGTTGTAGGGGGAAAATTCTGACTTTAGAATGGTCTAATATTTGTGATGAGTATGGTATTTTAACTGTTATCAAAAAAATATTCTTCGTTTGAAGATAACCATCATTCGAAAGAAGAAAAATAAGCCAAATAATTGTCTTTCTTCGCATTACAAATAATTTTTCTCTGTGTATCCCCTGATACGTTGAAAATCGAAACTACTTCGCAGAAACACACTCGTCGAACTCTCCAGTTTGATTCAAGTTCCGTCACAAGAAGAGAAAAGAGATCGCGATTGGCGGCTCTCTTGTCGTTTCTTGAGTTCTTCATGTCCGCACCTGTATTCTTCGTAGCGCATCACGACTTCTTCCAGTTCTTGCTTATATAGCCTAGTGAGCATTGCATTGAAACAATCCAATTCTGGCAGTCGGAAGAGTTCCCAACGTAGCTTACGATCTAGTGCGATCGAGGCTCTGCTGTAGACGTACAGCCAATGCGGTATCTCCTCGTTGAGATACGGATTAGCCGGCACCAGGACACTGTGAGAGTGAAAATGAGTGTGTCGCGGTGGTGACACTACGCGCACCGCTTGCATCTCGTGTGGGTAACAGGGGTGCTCGTACTGCGCTTGACGCGTGATGTGACTGAAATTGAAGAGCCGCTCATCGTTAGATGACATGCACGGTACACATTGACGCTTTGTCGAAAAAAATGAAAAGGGCTCTACGATGCAATCGTAATTTGGGAGGGAATCAGTCGGAGCTAAAACGTGAACATAAGCGCGAACCGAATTCGCATGAATTAATGAGGGAAGATCGGTAGGTGTCCCTGCTAATTTTGATCAACTTGGAATATATTTTGTGTTCAGGGAAGAAGAAAGGAGAAAAACGTGCGAGGAAACACTTGAGAAAAAGGCACGTGTTTTATTTTTGGCTACTTTACAATATATCCAAAGTTCATCTTGCAGGTATATATATAGGATGTCGAAAAAAGATATCAAGTTTTAGGAGTATGTTTTAGGAGTATTATAGTACTCCAGAAAATAAATCAAAAAGTCTTAATAAGCAGTACTCCAAAAATTTTGTTTAGAATAAATTTAAAATGATAAATTATTGACAATGTCCGATTTTGTGTTGTGTATTCACAGCAGCAGAAAATGCTTTATAACTAAAAAATAAATGGTTTTTAGAGTACTGCTTAGACTTTTTGGTTTGTTTTCACGTCTACTACATAATAATCCTAAAATTGGAACAATCTTTCTTCAACATCCTATACCACTGTTCAAAATTTCGAGATTTGGCTTCCTGCTAATATTGTCATCAACATTGATATCTACGATTCGGACTTTTATCTCTTTCATATTCCAATGATTGCGCATCGAAGAGTTCTTATATCATCTGTTGACTTAAAATAATATACTTGTTGATATTTCTACTGAAAGAGTACTCACTTGACGTAGTAAACACCGTACTCGGGCGACTCGATTCTTTCCCAGCCAGTGGGTAGGCCCTCCTTCTCGAGCGGATGCGACCAATGCGTAGTCTTCGTATTATGATCGATGTAATATTTCCGACCACGGAGCGTGAAGTCGACTGACCATCCAGGAGGCAAGGGCAATTCCTCCTGTTGTTCACTCCGAGAACTCGATCTCTCCGAGTGGCATCTACTGTAGCTTCAAATCGAGACTCGGTGAAACCGATGAATTTTAGACGAGACGACAAACGTACACATAAAAAAACCGTGGCGAAAACGCAACGATACGATCTATGCAGATTTCAATTTAAAAGTATGAGCAATTTAATTAATTAAATTTTCGAATAAGCATGATAAGATATAAAATCCATTGCTACGATTGAGACGCAAAAAATGATTCTTGATATACAAAATATCAAGATCTTTCAAAATCTACGAATTTTTCTCTCAAGTGTAGCTACGTTAATCGTACAGTGAAAAATAGAACAGCATAGACCGAGCTTAAAAATGACTAAAAATTAAATTAAGATATGTTGGGGAATTATCGCGCGATATCTTCATTATTTTTTAATATAAATAAAGTAAACACTCGTGTCTCATCTTATAGCTCGAAGTTAGAACGATAGTAACACGAGTGAGGCAATTTATAGGATACTGAGGAAGGTATATTATTGTTCCAGGCGAATTTCACAGACTCGATGGAACTGTCGTACCCAGCATTCTGGCGGTACGCGGAACGATTATAGTCTTCGTAACCAGTGTCGACGTCGAAGGACATGTAAGGCATCTGTGGTGTCTGAACCCTGTCCAAATGGTACTCGGAGCCAGCATATTGATTGATATATGTGTGAGACATCGCGGGCGACAGTTCGGCATGGTACATGGGTGTCGCGGTCCTCGAGGGCATACCGTCGTTCGTTCCCGTGTTAACAGAAAGACTAGCGAACCTAAACCATGAAATTAGAATTGGGTAAAAGCAAAAATAAAGGAACATACATATCGAAAAAGAGAAGAAAAATACATATGTGTACTGTTAACCTTTGGGCTAAGTCCGGAACGGAACTGTTCGGCGTGTACTTGCCCTCGTGGCTACCGAGACCAACGGCACTCGGGGTAGTTTTCGTGTTTCCGAATTTTTGTACCATACTGGGCTGTTGAGGGACGGACTATGAAAGAAAGAAAAAAAGAGAGAGAGAGAGAGAGAAAGAGAGACTCGTGGATATCAATCAATTAATTAACATCTTAAGACGTTTTTGTATATAGTTTTTATCTAGAAATTCAAAGGTTATTTATATACAATGGCCAATGTATATTGCAAAATAACATAAATGAAATTAAAAAAGAAAATCTACGATTCGTTTATTAATTGGAGTAAAAGGAAAAATGGCGTTTCCTTCGGCACCGGGACTCGCAACTCGACATCGATAAATCTAGAACTCTTAATGCCCTCGAGAGATTTGTTGATGTGTAAGATTTAATTTTTCCTTTACATCTCATTGACACTTTGTATAATGCATTGTATGTTATGTAATTTACCATGGAGCTCGGCATCGCCGGATGATTGTTACGCCGTCTCGTTCTTTTGTTCGGTTCTGTTGTCCATACGTTGATAACTGAGCGTAAATAACGTTAATTCTTGTGATGAATATCGATATTTAAATTACGAAAGAAATATACATGTAGTAGTGGAAAACAGGAAACATCACACACATCCCAGTAAACGAGAAACATTAAATCAATCTTTTGAAACATCTTTACATTTATCTTGCGGATTTCATAAATATTTTGACATATTTTATAAGTATTTTTTAAACTGTTACTTGATAATATATAATATTCCTAAATATCAAAATCATAGTGTGGAAATATTATTTTTAATGTTTGGATTAGATATTGTTAACAACGACGTTGCGTACAACATTAATACGTTGTTTACAACAGAATTTATACTACAACTTCGAAAACATTACACGTTATAAAATATCATTATAATAATATTGTCGTGTTAAGTATTTCTTGCTTACTTGGATTAGAGGTGATAAAGACAATGAGGAGGGCATTCCCCTATATACTTATTTAACCAATGTATTGATAAAAATCTCACTATACTGTGAATTTATTATCAATAACAAATATAATAAGGAAACAAATATAATACATTAAATACAACAACGATAAAAAAAATCTCAGATCTGAGTGGATACAGAAGAAAATTTCGCTGGAAGCTGCTGGCTGAAGATCATTTTAAATCACGTTAGAAGAATAGAAGAAGAAGATAAAAAACTTGCGAGCGTCCGAAATAACACGATGAAAAGGAGAAGTCCGATATAACCGTGGACAATAATTAACAAGAAAAGAACGCGCACGCCCGCGAAGACGCCTCCGACCTAAACTTAAAAATGCCTTTTCTCGCAAGTGCAATACGATCTAATAATATCCCCGCCTATTAATATATTTATGTGCCCTGCACTTTCCGTGCATCGTCGTCCCTCAAAACGAAATTCACGTGTATATTGATAACAAGCAAAACGATAAACAGGAGAAACATACAGGAGAAACACACAGGAAAAACGGTGAATCGAATTTTCCCCCGATTCGAACGTGACAGATGCGAGGTCTTTCGCACGAGAAAAGTTTTTTGCATCAAGTGCGACGAACTGCGCGCTTCAATGCGTACGGGAAAAGTGAAATGTAGGGGCGGGGGGAGCAAAGGAAAGGCTTAAATCTTCGTCGTGAAGATACGTACTCGGCATCTCGGGTGGCGTTTCCTTCTTCACGTACCTCCCTTCCACGCCCTCCTTGATCGTCCTCAGGTCCTTGTTTTTGCGCGATAGCATGCTGCCCCGGAGAGTCGTCGGCGAGATCAAAACGTCGTGCGAGTAGCGCGGAACAATGGTGCTAACCTAACCTATCGCGCAACTCGCTACACATCGGCGCGAATCGTCCTCCCGTTTTCCTCTTCTCTCGCTAATCGGACCCTCCGAAGATGAACGCTGCTTCTTCCCTATCCCCGTTCTCGTCTAATATCCCGTTGAGTCCCAGCAAAATTGGCAGAAATCGTTTTACTTTACAGGACTTCGCGTCTGAGCTCGCCGAACGATCGCAGAAAGGGTTGAACTCGCGACGTTGAAGCCCGAACACTGTTCGAGCGCAGCACCGTACCTTGACGACGTTCCTTCGCACTCGGTGCACACAATAATGACGAACAACGAGAGGAATGTGCGCGACATTTGCATCTCGCACGCACGGAAACGTCGCTTTGACAGCGATCCTGGTCGAATGGCGGCAAAGCAGGACACAAATCAGGGATGTATGCGGGCGTATCACGCGCTGTGCGAGCGGGGAGATGCCACTGGTCGTCAGTGTGTACCAGGACACGTGCCTATAATCGGGACATAAGACGTCTGAAAGACCTTAAAGATCTCTGTAAGAACTTTAGCAGAATGACTTGTAATTTAAAGATAATGTTTTATGTGCCTTCAATTTTTTTCTAAATTATCACTTTTTAAAAATTATATAGCGGTTTGTCATCAATCGCGAACAAAACCGCTTTTTAATTTAAGATACAAGATAATTAATTGTGCGTTATTAAAATACAAAAATTTAAATGATAAAACATTGTCTTGAACATATGTCAGCCATTCTACTAAAGCCTTTATTAAAAAAAAAAAAAGACATCAAATATTGCCTTGAACTAATAAGTCAGATATTCTGCTAAAATCCTTAGTCAGAGCCTTAGCAGAATGATTGTACTTGTACTTTTAAGATAATATTTTACATATGTGTACCTTCAATTTTTGTCTAAATTATCTTTTTTTTATTTTGTTTTTTTAATTATACAGCAGTTTATCATCGATCACGAACAAAACGGCTTTTCAGTTTAAAATTCAAGACATAAGACAATCATTGTGTTACTTAAAGATAAAGACTTGAGGTTTAAATAAAATACCGAACCAATAAACCATTCTGCTAAGGCCCTTAGTAAGTACGTCATATGTTCCTATTTTAGACATATTGTCTGTAATAAAACTAATTCGAGCATCGCAAATTTGATACCGAATATGATAAAAAAAAGAAAACTTAAAATTTCAACCCAATTTAAAACTCGAATTCTTCGTCTCATCTAATTAAATCTCAACGACGTTGAAGATAAGAGAATCAAGAAACGAAACTTCAACGTTTGCCGTTCGGTTTTATTAAATTCTATTAAAACCGAGCGAAGCCTGTACGAAAAATATCTGTCAAATAAATAGTAGTTACGGACATATCGCCGAAGAAAAGAATGTTCAACTATGATACTATAATACACATCGGGAAGTGAGGATTTTACATAAACTCGAAAGATTGAGCACGTATGAAAAATACATTTCTCTCGAATTTTCACGCTTGGTAACAGCTCACGTGGAAAAGAAAGAAATTGGCACCGGACATTCGCGAAGAACAACGGTGTAGGAATAATATTTAGACGTTTCCTTTTTTCTTTTTTCTTTTTTTTTTTTTTTAATAAATGTGTATCTATTTACGCGTAAAGAATCTTTCCACGGACTCGCTCTCTTTCTCTCTCCTTTTCTCTCTACGTCTTCAAAGTCACATTACATTATTTTACAATAATTATATTTATATATTTTTATATATATATATATATATATTTATATTTATATATGTATATGTCACTCTCTGTCTCCGTACGAGTTCTTTACGTAGTGGAGGTAACGGAGCGTAACGCCAAGCGAGCACGTCGTGTGCGAATCTCGAAACGTTCGACAAGAAATTTGATGAGAAAAATCATAAAAAAAAAAGAATTGAAAAACGAATCTCAAAACAATGGCAATCGTGTGTTCCCCCTCTCTTTTTCTTTCTCACTCTCACTCTTAGCTCCATGAAAATAGTATGAGCAAGCTGTCCATTCCGTTAAATCATCTATTTTTCTTTTATTTTATTTTACTCGTAGCTATCATTACTTGTTTATCATTGTCGTTTATTATTATTTTCTCTGTTTAATTATCCTTTATTGTTACCATTATCGTTATTTTATCGTTTAATTATTATTATGCAATGGTAAGAAATTTTAAAAACCCCACGTTCCTACGGTTGCCAGTATAGGAGCACAGCTCCGAATGGATTCCTTATTATAATCTGCGTTGTGTGTGTGTGTGTTTCTGTGTGCTCTCTGGGTGTGTATGTGTGTGTATGTGTGTGTAACTATTTACGCAATTATATTTATAAGCAACGGATGATTTGGTACAATCAAATCTGTCTTTCTTTCTTTCTCTTTCTTTTTTTTTTATTGTATACTCCACGTTCTCCTTCCTTACTTCTTTCTTTTATTTAAAAAACAACATATATATCTCTCTCTCTTTCTCTATCATTCTTTCATCGCGTCTCCTCTTTCTCTCTCCATCGTCCGCGTAAGCAAACACCTTATCACTCGTTAACTATTTATGTTCCGCTGTCACTTGCCGCGCTTTTTCGGCTTCTTGAAAAAAGTTTGTTCTAACTCGCCGCGGACACGCAGCCAGCAACAGTCTATGTTAGTTAGCACATCGGCCTATATGTTTTACACCTGTATATCTTCGTTTCTTTTTTTATCGCAGTTTGGTGTATGCCTGTGTGTGTCTGACTTTGTTGTATTTCGTCAATATTACTATATCCTTTTCTTTATAGTCGCATATATATATATATATATTTATATATGTATATACATATATTATGTATATATACATATACGTTATTTTATATTTATATATGTATTTATATATATATATATGTATATACTTTTTGTTTTCATTTACCTAATTCTTTACGTACCTGTTAATATAGTTATCGTTTATCGTATAATGTACGAATATATGTTACATTTCAAACAACACCCCCGCCGGCTCCGTCGGGGGCAAGAATTCGCACGAAGGGGTCAGTCAGGAGGCGACACACACACACTTAGCCGTCATCACGAATGCGCGAAGTGTCGCGTCCTACGAGAACGAACATTAAGGATCACAACGACGTGTATACTTCGTCCGTTTCGAAATTTACACCACCGATTGTCCCCACCTACTGAGAGCGCAGCGAGATCTTAGTCAAGAAGGGACTCTAAAGATTTGTCGTTATTATGTGCTGACACTGAGTACATCATGCAACCGATCGATCGTCGCCGTCCCGAGAAAGAAAAGAAAAAAACGGAAGAAAAACGAAAGTGTGAAATATATCCGATGTTACGACACGTGTAAAATCATTTGAAATTCACTGATCGCCACGTTGTTTTTCAGTTGTAGTTGCTGTTGTTCTTGTTGTTATTGTTGTTGTTGTTGTTATCGTCGCGTTGTCGTTATTGTTGTCAAAGAATAAAATTCCGTGATTATCTGCATCGTCTTTTCTTTTTTCACTCTCCTCTTTCCAATAACTCCGCCATTTCAGTCACAACTAATAAAATGAGTTACAATAACGTCATTAAGAATGTCATCGTGAGACACTTTGTTTCGCTAACAACAATAATTTTTTGCGTGTAGTACATGGACAATCGACGTAAACTAAGGGCTAACAATCGGGCAGCGTGGTACTGTATTTCCACCTGGAACAAAAAAGAGACTCAGGAAGGCGTTGAATTAAGTCTTTACAGAGGAAAGATCATCTCTTAGGCCCGGTTTTTATTTTACGGTTGACTTGTGGTTTAAACTTAAACCGATGATAATATAAAAATTATGTTCCTCTATATTCATGGTTAATAATTACATTGACGGTTTCGCAGTGGCAACTTTAAAAATTTAACGATTAACCATTAATATAAAAACATCATTTTTAAGTCATCATCAGGTTAAGACTGAACCACAAGTCAACCAGAGCAAGAAAACCGAGCATTAAAATTTCTTTGTGAGAAAAGATCGACTTGAAGGAATCCGCAAATGAAATTGCAACGTGCACAACATCGCACGTAGGAAGACTCGAGAATGTATTACTATGACGATAGAAATAAAGGAGAAAAAATATAATGATAATAAATGAGGAAGAATATCTTACCAGCTCAGGGACGAGCACGCGTTGTAGGTGTGTTAGTGGCAGGAACTGCATTATTGGAGCTACCTGTCGGAGTGTTACGTGACCCTATCTCCAATTCAGCCAGTTTCTTCCACAATTCGTCTCTCTCCTTTTCCCTCTTCTTCTCTCTGCAATTTATCGTTATTAAGAAGAATGCTGATAGAACTTTGCTCTCTATAACGTATGAAACTTCTACAAACTCTGCTTGAATTTTTATGCAACATTTAACTGTTGATAAGTGTGACGTTAAAAAGATAGGGAACGAAAAATCCCACTTAGCGTGCCGTGAAATAAATAAAATATGAATTGTAAGAGACTTCTAACATTCAAGCTTACTTTTGCCTTTCAGACTTATAGCTGGCAGTAAGTTCATCGAAGAGCTTGCTGTTCATCTCCATAAATGTTTTTAAAACGTTATAAACAAGAGCTACGATCGTCTGATTCCAGTGCTCCTTGCTAATTCTGTACAATGCCGGGAACATGATCCCCATTATTATATGATTGTTCTCCTCAATTAGAGACATTATATACTCGTTATTCCAAAAGTACAACGCTCTCTCCGCAACCTGAAACATACGCGCGACACGATTAGGCGTTACTCGTCACGTCGGATGGATTCGTCAAGACTGACGTGATGCAAAAACCGCATGTTCCATATCTATATATTCCCGTTCTCTCACCTGAAAGTGTGGTGAAGATACACAACGTGCGATTTGCCTGAATAAAGGTTCCTGTATTTTAACAAATTGGACAGGTTCTATAACGTCCAATATTTCCTCGATTTCGCCGAGGAACATCACCTCCTTCTGGCTGCACGTTTTAGGCCAGAATTTAAGGAGGCCTCGTACAACTGGTTCTGTTAAAGTCGCGTCTTTTTCCAAAAATTGCACCACACAATAAGCTAACTGCGCGTGATATATCGATAAACATTTCACTTTATGCAGTGGTAACAGCACCTGCAAAAACAAACGGACGGAGTACGTTTTAAACGTTATAACCAAAAAATCAAAATGATGACATCGCAATCAAAAATCACAGAATTATGCAAATAGATATCACAATACGAATAATACGAGAAGTTTTGCAGCACGGCTCAATGGATTACAATATAATCGTACCTTAACCAAAAATTGCTTGTGCTCTACTTTCAAAGGAAGAGCAAATCCATTAATAATGCTACCCAAGATTTCAAGAAGTTCACCGACCCCGTTGAAATGTTCCGTTTCGTACACGAACCTGAAATAATGAATAATGAATAAGGCGAGATACAAGTCGGTACATTGACAAAGTTTTGAACACAAAATTACGTGAAATAGAATCTCAATATAGTTAAAAGATTCAACGGAAGGTAGTATTTATGCGTTTAAGTAGATACCTCAGAAAAATGTTGTTTATTTGTTTACGTATGAAGGCTCTAAGACCCAGGAACTTGCCATAAATACGATGCAAAACGGTTTTCAGGAAATCCCTTTCCCTCGGGTCTTCCGAGTCAAATAGATCCAATAACTGCAACAGACAATAGTATAGAATCGTGCTTAGCCTTATTAGCTTATAGTGAATATTTTTATATTGTGTAGAAAAATTACTAAAAGTATTATGATATTACTGTATCAAACAACGATTTCTCTCTCTCTCTCTCTCTCTCTCTCTCTCTCTCTCTCTCTCTCTCTCTCTACCTGTAACACGAATTTTTGATCGATGACTTTTTTGCCGATAGCGGGCTGGAAATCTGAAGACTCGAGAAAACGGAGGAAGACTTCGTAGACCAGCTGGAGATGAGGCCAGCTCGCCTCCAGGGTCGGATCATCCTCTTCTGGATCGAAATCTGGGTTTTCACTAGGTGGCAACGTACGGAATAAATTTGCAGAAACCTGTAAGAGAGAAACATTACGTAAAAGATACATTATGTATTTTCATGAGAATTTCAACATGCACTTATATACTTATCGTTTATTGATTCCGTTAAGTTTTTATATAATTACATGTTTAATTACATTTATTATATTAAAGACACACATACATATACACACGTACATACACACATAGAAGTATGAGAATCTATAAACTAAAGCGGATTATTTCGTACTACTACTTATTATCCAAGATAATACTTCCAAGAGGTAACACATTAAAGCAAGAAAAAGTTTTAATTAATTCTAATTGAGCTCTCTTCGGCTATTGCTAAAGGAGAAAGTGAGAAATCTGAACTTTCCAGCGCTCTAGTCCTCTTTCTAACGTGAGTTTTATCAATTACATACCATTTTAATGGTTTCCGGGTAAACAGGTTCGGTGAGGACACCTCGTCCCGCCGTGATGTATTCCACCAATTCATTGAGCGTACTCCGTTTAATTTCCTTGCCTTTGAGATCAGCCATCGGATCCATGAAATCGAACGCCACACAGCATTGCCGGAGCTTTTTGATAAACAGCTCCTCCTGCTCTGAAGGTGTAACATCTGTAAGCAATAAAATGATATTAATACGTTAATCCGAAAGGCTCTTCGCGTTTTACGATAAAAGCGACTTTGAAGTTTACAGAAGAGGAGAAAGAGAGAGAGAGAGAAAGAGCAGCATACATTTTTACACCAGATGAACATTTACCGTCTCTCATTATAAAATAATAAGTTCTTTTTCCTCCTTTTTCAAACGATATGAAATATAATAGCGTTACTGAAGCGCAAATTTTGAGCTGTATAAAGGACAAAACTGTAGAGCGAAACGGGCGAGGGCAAAATCGATATTGCTCGCTGCAAGTAATCAATTTACTATACAGCCATAATAAAATATATATATATATATCATATATTAATAAAGCGCTCGGTTACTATTTTTAACCCTTTATTGATAATAGATAAGAGAATGAGCGTCCAATAAAACGTTATCATTTCTTTTGCTTCTAAATGTGTAAGTAAACAATTTAATTGAGCCGATAAAAAGCAGAACCATATAAGCCATTCCGATGCCGCACGATAGACCATGATGATATCGTTGTACGAGCAAATTATACGGAGTGTATCTTTCAGCTGCCTGCATCTTTCAGATTTCCCGACAAATTTCCACTCAATCTCGCTCGAGAAAAAGACCGCTTAAGTCATCGTCACGATCCTCAAGTTTCAACATTAAATATCTCCAATGTAAACATTTTTTATTTCAAGAACAATCGAGCCACTTTCAAATATCAATAGGATGTAGATTAAGCTGCGTCGTTAATTTCGCGAATTTCAGTTCCCTCGCCGTTCGAATCGATTGGTCGGAAAGCTCACGATCATGTGATGATTCTCCCGATGAAATTGAGCAACTTAAAATTTCAACAGAGTCGTGATACGTACATACAGTACACCACATTCGTTCACGTGCGCGTTAATAAGCTTATTAATTAAATCGGAACACGTCCGAGTTAACCATAACACAATGTTAACGACCGACGCGTCGCAGCTTATCCCTCATCGTGACACACCATGTGCGCCCGCGTCATCCATCGAGCAATATTTCTCTCGGATATCGCGGTGATGTCCTTAAATTACGGAAGGACGTAAAGGCGAATCGAATATCTAGTAGGGGCGACACGTCCGTTCTGAAAATATCTATCCGAGGTGGAGGATAAAGGCATATATTCGTGACGTCACGTGCACTCGCTCACCCCTCGTTCTAAATAACCACTAGCGCACTGGAGCCGATATTTTGACGCTCCGAGCGTTTAAGAGCTTTCGAGCTGGTCGCGATGCAGGGGGAGGGGGGCAAGGTGTAAGGATGAAATATAGAACCAGTTGCGTCCACGTGGGCGAACGAGCGCGCTAACCCGATTAGTTAAATTTTGTTTTGTCCGTCCATACCGAGCCGAGCATTTCAGGGACAGCCAGGGATACTTTGCAGAATATTTAAGAGCGCGAAGGGCACGGAAAAGTGACGCGTACGCCCACAGAGGAGTAACTTGAGATCTCGGTAAAACGGGAAAATCAACCTCCTTTCCGAGTTCGAATCTATCGTCGGATAGATCCATCAAACCGTGAAGACCGCGATCGTTAATTCGAGGGAACGAGGTCCCGTAAATACCGTTGAAACCCTTACGTAATACAAGATGAATAGTGAAGATAATAATTATGCGCTATTTATGTACTCTTCAAAAATGAAACGCAAAACTCTTACGCTCTATTTGTTACAGCAGAAGACAGAATTTTTAGCGGAGGGGAGAGGGAGGCGTTTGAGCTCTATGAAAGCTGAACTCGCCGCTACACAGTGGAAAGTCGAAAAAGGGGTCATAATTCGAAGTTTAATTAGATTGTTACCAAAAGTTATATATAGTAATTTTTCGGATCGATAATCATGAATCCGAAGTCAGATATATAAAATTTTTAATTACCTAACTAGACAGGTGTTACAATTTTTTAAAATAAAGGAGAGATCGTTAGGTCGATTATATATGATTTATACGTTCTTATATTCAGATGATTTCGATTTTCGTGCTGCAACCTTTAAGACAGTTGTGCCTGATTTTCAGTGGCAATATTAAGAGAGACCCGTATATAAGTTTATCATTTACTAAAAAGAAATATTTTCCTATAACTTGATTTAACTATCTAAATAATAAATTTTATATATAAATTATATAATAATAATTGTTGAGTGGAATAATAAATTTTATATATAAATTATATATAATAATAAATTTTGAGTGGAATCAAGACAAATATATACATATAATATTACAAGTATAGAAATATAATTTTTTTATTTTTCTGATTAATGCTTTATTTGCACATCAATCGAGCTAATAAAAGTGCACATATAATAGAAAGTGGTATATAAATATTTAAATATGTATACACGTTCATATCGCGAGTATTAGTATAGATTGTAAATTTCCTATGGCTATATTTCGAAAAAAAAAAAAAAAAAAAAAAAAAAAAAAAAAAATTNATAAAATAAAAATTCTGAAATTTGTGTGTAATGTCTCTATATTAATCCTTAATATCAAAGTAATTTTTCATAAAAATCCTACGTGTAGTTTAGAAGAGATTAAAAGTAGAAGTTAAAAATAAGAATAATTTATCTCAAAGAATACGTACAAAAAGTATTATCTTTAATTACGAATATCTCAGCTTCCGAATAGTCAATCGTTTTCTAACTTTACAGACATTCGAATAGCATTTCCATCGATACGTAGCTAAAACTCAAGGGGATCCCTACAAAAATAGTTTAACAAGCCAACTACCACAAGGAATTTCTCTCTTGACGCAAATCGCCATAAAATTTCCTTCAAAGAAGAAATTTTCGCGTTTTATTTTCGAAGAACGCACAAAAAATGCATAATTGTACATCTTGATTATCCGGACGTGTATCAGGCAGATATCAGGGACTCTGCATTCCCGAAGAGGATGCTTTCATCTCTCGATTTATAACTGCAAAACACTCCGAAGGGGTTCGTTACTGGGGAAAAATCGACATCGATTCGATCGAGGAAATTATTCGTAAGTGATAAGTGGCTCCATAGATGCGGAACACCTCATGCAATACAGTCATAGGGTAGCTCGCGTGCACACACACACACATATATACACGTACATCAGCTAATCAGTTTTTGCCGTGCGCTTCGCTTCACCTCGCTTCGGGATGATGGCGCGGTCTCAATGTCCCGCGGTAACTTCGCTCTTCGTAATGGCACACGGCGTGGCCTCAATGACTTTATCGAATTATGCCAAACTCTCTCGCTCGCTCTCTCCCTCCCTCTCTCTCTCTCTCTCTCTCTAGCTTGTTCGTTTGCTCGCACAAAACCGACGCCGTCGCCTACGCGAAATATCGCCACAGAGGACAGCCATCCTGGGGAAAAATTGGCAGCAATCCCCGCGTCATATTTATCCGCCGAGATTTCACTTCGAGCGCCACCAAAGGGAGGGGGGCAAGGGTAACAGGAGGCGAGTCATTGAGAGGTGGCGAGAGATGACGGACGAGCGGAAAAAGGAAGAGAAGGACTAGCGACTAACGACACACAAATTATGATTGTTATGCTGCGGCGCATCCTTGAATGACGGCGACGCTTTGGAATCGCGCGAGTCGGAATAGAGCGAGTCGTCGCGCAGGAGACGAGCTTGTAACGCATCCAAGATGTATTTAGAATTTTCGCCGATGTCAGATCGTGAAATTGGCCTCTGGTTGTCGCAGTCTTGCACGCGGTGCATTCGGGATTGCGTCCGCGCGTATTCGCGAGTGATATACTTTCGCGTCGCCTTGGGACTCGGTCGCTTGATTATTCGGAGGGACCACGAAAAAACGCGGAATGGTCCCTCATTTCCCCGCGGATTTCCGCAGGAAATGCCCGAGAGGAACTTCTTTCCCTCTTCCCCGTCGGTTTTCCTCGCTTGAGTTCCGCCACTGCTGTACTCGCCGCTATACTGGGAGATCGGAAAAGAGGGCCATAATTCGAAGTTTAATTAGATTATTATCAAAAGCTGTATTCAGTAATTTTTCGGATCGGTAACCACAGATCCCCGAGCAGAGGTGTGCAAAATTTGAAATAGCGTACTTAACTATTAGGTTGCAATTTGGAGAAAAATGCCGTCATTGGAATGAAAAACATCAAGTTTGAGGGTTTATATAACGTTGTAATACCGATAGCAAATTTTTTTCATACATTTTGTTAGTACCATGCAAAAGTATCAACTTTTAACTTTAAAATGCATTTCGTATCATTTCAGTATAATCTTTTGTTTTCAAGATACAGCTAAAAATAAAAACATTTGTCGTACGCGCACGACATCAATATCATGTTTTTATCAATGTTTTTAATTTTAGCTTTATTTTAAAAACGAAAAACCATATCGAAACGATACAAAATGAATTTTAAAGCTAAAAGTTATTACTTTCACGTGACATTAACAACATGTAGGAAAAAAATGGCTGCCGATGCTACAATGTCATAAAAACTCTCAAAATTGTCGTTTTTTTATCTCTTTTTTTTTCTCAAAATTGTGACCTTATAGCCAAATTTATATAACGGATTCATGTTCAGCAGACGAAAACAATTCGGAAACTATTCTTATTCTGCATATAGTAACCTCGTTGATCAGTGTAATTATGCAACCATCGTGAAACTTTGAAAAAGCTGTAGAAAAACTACATGTTACAATAGAATTCCATACTAAATATTTTCTGAATCAAATTTTTGCCATTCTTTTACGCTAGCCACCCTATAGTGTGCTATTTTGACAGCAATTTGATAAATCGACTTTCCGACGAGGGTGAATTCTTCGCTTTACTTTCGGGTGGGTTTTATCACGGCCATTGTGGTTCAGCCACCGCGATTCAGATCTTCACCGATTAACCTTTCGACCGCATTATGGGTCAGATAGACCCGGTGAGTTGTATTTGAAGAGCAATAACGAAGAGAATTGCGTCGAAGATTCGAATTATTTTTCAGTAATTTCAAACTTGATTTTCTATGAATGCATAATCAAGCATTAAAGTAAAAGAGTTACACTTTACTCTAAAATTTTGCCAACCTCTTCCCTTTTACAATTTTCCAAATATAGAGTTTAGAAAATCGCACAGGGTCAATAGGACCCTGTTTGCGAGCGACTTTTCAAAAGTATGTAGTCGAAAGGTTAATCCAACAATTTTTCACAGTTCGTGGCTGATTCTACCTCGTCGCGATTTCACGTGCCACTTCATGATTTCTTTCTCGAGCTGCTTGAGTCAGAATCGAACGTCGAAATGTTTCGCCGATAATATTCAGCGGGGCGAATTTCGAACATCACGCGAGCGGGTGAGCGAACGAGCGCGGGTAAGGGTGTAATTAATTTTTCATCCGGTTTCGGGGCTTTAATCGATGCCAGACACACAATTCCTCCATCGAGCGCCCGCGGCTTCTCTCATTAGGGGAAGCGAGTGGAGCTGCTCGCCGTCGGTTGAACGGCCTTAACTGATCCCCGTTAAATCCGATAAAAAGACGGTAAAGAAGGAAAGATTTTTCCGTGTCCGTCTCTCCGCGTCGGTCGATACGATTCTCCGATACCGACTAAGAAAGACGAGGAAGAGGAATGAAGAGAGTCGGGGAGGTGGAGGTGAAAGGTCGAGGAGGAGACACAGCGAGAATCGGCCGCCGAGACGCCGCGCGGCGCGTCGCGAAGTGCTCCAAAAATAGCGTTACGCGCGCGTTCGTACCGTCGTCGTTCGTTCCCTCGGCGTTACGTGCGCTCGATCATCTAGCATGCACGTATTTATAATTTCATTCATAACGCGACACATACTTTCATGTGACCGTGCCACATCATATCGCGCCACGCTGGGTCGCGCAGCGCAAAGAAATCCGCCTCCCAAAAAATTCGGAAGAGGGATTTTCCCAATCATGGGGGGAAATTGTCTCGCCCGATTTCACAGGATCGGTGATGTCGATGACGTGTATTTTATCGTCGGTTGCACACCCTGTAATCTCTTGGTCGATTCCGAAGATGCGCCCCATCATACGATTTTTTTCCACGATGAGACATTGTTCCCATTAATTATCGACGACAGAATTACTTCTGAGTCATTTATCAACGCGGACCGCTCTTCGTCAATCACCGTCGCCGCTCGTTCGTCATTCGGACAAGGCGGAGAATCCGTCCAAAGATCCGTCTGGTGATGGTGTAAAAGTGCGAGCTCATTCGTAGGCAGACGTCGCAGTTGTCGGTGCGGATGTGGAAAGCAATTCGGCGGTGAATTATGCGCTCGTCGCAAAATACGAGACAGATTATCGATACCGGGGCGGGAAAAATAGGAAAAAGAGGATAGGGAAGAAGAGTACAGAGGGCTTTCAGGAGGGTAAAAACGGGACGTGTTATAAAACAAGGTCGACGAGAGAGAGAGAGAGAAAGAGAGAGAGAGAGAGGGAGAGCCGGAACTGTCCGAAAAATCGAGATAACTAAACACAAACAATTTTGTCAAAGTTGCACAAATAAAATAAATACGTAAAAAATAAAATACCGCAAATGTCAAAACGGCGGAAAAATAGGACGGAGACAAAAAGAAGAGAAATAGATTTAAAAAGACAAGAAATAAAGAAGGAGAGAGAGGGAGGGAGGGAGGGAGAGGAAGAAAGAGAGAGAGAGAGAGAGAGAGANAAAATAGGGATAGAACGAGAAGGGCGAGGTGGGAAGGGGATGGCAAGAGGGGAAAGGGAAACGAGAAGGGGTAGAAGTGCAAGAGAAGCGACGGAAGGGGCAAAAGGGAGGGTGGTGGAGGAGGGCGAAGGAGTAGAAGAGCGCGCTCCGGGCAGGTGGTCGGCGGCATTCCGGATCAATACTTCCACCGCTTCTCTTCTAGAGGGGTACGTCAGGTAGCCTCTTCGCCCCCTTTTCCACGACCCTTATCCCTCTTGCTCTTACTCTTGCGCTAACCTTCCTCGTCGCCCCGCCGCCTTTGTACTTTCGTGCCCTCCCTCCTCCCTTCCCCGTCTCCTGCTGCTACCCGCATTGTCGTCCATCGCCCGATGTCGTCTGTGTCGTTTGCACTCGAAACCTCTTTCTTTTTCCTTCCTTTTCTTCCTTCTCTTAGTCTTCCTGCCTCGCGTTCTTTCCGATTATCCTTACGCCCTTCGCCTCGACGATCTTTCCTTGGTCACTCTTCGTAGATTTTCCCGATATTTTTACTCCACTCCCTGTTTCGCCGTTCGTCCTGTTATTCTTCCTTCGCCATTCGTTCGCCACTTTTAGCTCACTCTAGTCTCTCCGTATTTTTCAGGGACGAGCGAGAACAGGGAATGTATGTCGAATCTACGTTACCCAATACGATAAGTTATGCTTCGACATGTTGCCGGCGTTGCACGCGAAGAAAAGAAGATACTCTTATTCTTTAGCGACTGCCGGAGAGCCACACGAAGGGAGCCCGATGAAGTTTCCACGCGAACATTCGATTGAGACGCGTCAATCGCCGCAGTATACAGAAAAAACAGTTTTAAATCAATGATAGATATTCTCATATATGAGCAAGAATATTATAATATTCCTAGAAGATTTTGGGTATCGAATTGAGCGCAAGTAATAAATACTTGCAGCAATACAAAAAAACTACACTGATAAAAAGAAATTGAAATTTTACGAAGTAAATGTTTCTTGTGACGTTTTCTTTGATGTTTATTGATTAGAAAAATCTTGACTGTCATAACGGAATATATATTTCTGAGAAATATACTCAAATTTTCTTATTAATTAACATATTTGCTAGGAATAAAATTCTATTTTTATTATAATTTCCATATTTAAATAAATGTTTATTCCTATGAAATAAATTTCACAAATAAATTTTTAAGTACTTCCTTTCTCAGTGTAAAAATTTACTAAGAAGATTGTAACATTCTTGCTTATATACGAGAATATCTCTAGTCGATTAAAGACTAATTTTTTTTTCCGTATAGAAAACACGTAATTTGCTGAATCGGATCGAATCGTTCGCGGACACCTCATCGCCCGGTGAAATCGCCGGCGGCAAGCCTGTGTAAAAACGGCGGCTGCTACAGGGGTGGAATGGCCATGTAACACGGCACTCCGCATAATAACTCCGCGAAAATCCCCACCGCAAGACAGTCGATTAATGCACGAACGATACTTTTTGCTGAGATATACGGGCGATCATGCGGTGGTCACGAGAGCGATTTAACGATTCGGCTACGCGAAAACGGCGTCGGGGCGATGGCGGCGACGTTTCGCCCACTCTCGCTTCGCTCCGTTAGAAAGCGCACTAACATCATCCTTGTTTTCCTGTCTTGATCTTGGCAATGATCGTGGCCATCGGCGACACCGTCAATTAGGCAGAGAAGGTGTACGCA